CATCCCACTCTCCCACATTTGCTTCACAGTGAAAAGGATGTTAAAATGGAAAATCAGATTCCTTTGTAAATATTAACCAATGAGCTTCTTTGCAAAGAATGAAAAAAAAAATTATGTATACATTCTGTGGTTTCCATTTCCTTGGTTTTATTGTTTTTATGTAAATTCTCCCAGGACATTTCAGGTTATATGTCTGGAAGCCCCAGCCGCTCAGCAGAGTAAAGGTTGAGAGAATAATGAGAAATGTGCTGGAAAAATTCACATAAAAAAGCTTTGGAGACATGAAAATGGAAACAACAGATACATAAAAGCCTTATCATTCAAAAAAAGAAATGTCTCTCTGTGCATATGTGTGTTTTAATGCAGCTCTCTCTGAATATGCAGACATGTATTATTCCTAAAGACACTGTATAGAGCTGCAAAGGAGTGATATCTGACAATTTGGAGACTTTTCAGGATATTAAAGCAATGAAAGTGAATAAACCAAATGACTTCTGTATTAGAACCCAGACATACATATAAATAGGTCTAACATAGTTGTCCTTGCATAGAGTTTTATAAATCTTTTTATGTAAATGAAAAATRGAACCAAATCCAGCATGGAAGTGTGTTCATGAGATCTCCCTGAACTCTTGTGAATGACAGCAATTTGAGTGTCACGGAAATATGCAGAATCTACAAGAAGGAAAGCATTTTTAGTTGTTATTCTCATACTTGTTTGTTTTTTTTTTAATGCTCTTATAGACACTTTGTCATTCAATATAAACCTGTGACACCAAACTAAGGTTAGTCCAAGTATGCTTCACTTCATAAAAAGTGCTAAAGTATTACAGATCAGAATTCCAAACCTTTAGCCATAGCTTACCTTTATGACTTGAGTTTTATGGAATATTATTTGCAGAGGGTTCTGATAAGATGATCTCTAAAACAGACAGCTCTTTAAGGCAGTTCTTAATATAAAAAAGTGGGGATAGATTCAAGCTGGAAGATTGGTTCAGAAGGATGAATTTGTGCACCTGATCCTATAAGAAAAGTACTTAACATAAGTAGATAAGAGTTTTCTTGGCTTAAAGGACAAGACAAGCAACAAGCACRTAGGAAAACACTCTTATTAGTACATGCTGTGATCTATCAAGCCCACCACCACAACAGGCAGCAATTTAAAACTCTCTAAAGGGCATCACAAAGGCAAGTGACCATAACGCCAGTTTGAATGAGTAAGCAATGTCCTACACTTCTATTCAGGAGAAATAATATAACCACTTTATAGCCAACATGACTTCTGAGAGGAAGGGAAATRCAACAATGAAATCCAGACTTCTGGCTACTTTAACCAATTTTGCTTCAAAACGGATATTTCCTGCCAGGGTGAATTTTACTGGCTCCACAACCAGAGTGAAGAAACTCACTAGTTCCATAAAACTTCATATGAATCTTTTACTTGACTTCTCAGCTTAGATAAAACAGCATATATAAAATGCAAGGTTTGTGAAGCTGTTTTGCAGTGCTTCACTGAAAAGTGGGCTTGTTTTCAGGGAGCTGTGAAAATGACTTCTCAGATTTTTGTATCTAACAGACACTTTCCTTGCCTCCTCAACAACTTTCTTTGCCATGTACCTTATCAATCAAAAGGAGCGATAGAGGAATATTGACTCAGTTTAACACAACCATAGATAAATACCCTCAAAACTCTTCATATTTTAATGCTCATTTCAGAGATTAAATATAAAAATAAAAAGAAAAAAAGTAGACTTCGTTGTGGAAAAAAACCAACAAAATAGAAGCAAAATTTACAACACAAGAAAGGCTGGACACCCCTGTTCATACTATCACAGCTACTTAGAAGAAGCCTACAGCAGACATCTCAAACAATCCAATGTGTTGTGATTGCAACTCTGTGCTTTGGTCTATCATTTAAAAGATACCCTTTTCTATTTTCTTCTCTGCTTTTAAATAAGACACTATTTTTAATAATTTTTAATAAAGACACTATTTTTTTTAGACATTCCTACCCAAATAAAACATGGATTTCACTGAAACTGTTTTCTTCCTCTGTGCCACAGCCCATCATTCAAGATCTGCTGTATTAAACCTGAGAGGCCTATAAATATATATATGTACATATATATTACAAATTACATACTATATATGTATATAATGTTTAATTATATTCCAACCACTCCAAGTTTCTGTCACTTTTTCCTTTAGGAAAAATACTAAGAAACATCCCAAAGTGCTGCATGCAACTGTATATAACTGCAAAGTTTGCATATTCCATCCTTTCCTCAATGTATATTATTTGATAATATGCATTGAAATGCACAGGTGAAGCAGATGATAGGTAAACATGAATTTATTAATTACAATAGCAATTCCATTATTAACAATGCAACAAATCTCTATCCCTCTGTAGCCAGTGTTATGTTTAACTGCTAAGAGAAAGCTTAGACGAGATTTTTCAGGGGAAAACCATACATTTTAGAATGATACCTTAAAATACACCATATTCATAGACATTGAGGGGTTGTTACAAGCTCCTTCAATTACAAACAAAGGCCATAGAGTTTCACTCCAATGCCTGTAGTTGTCCCTTAACCTACAGGTGACCTAAAGCATCAAGAGTATTGCTTCATGTTTTTTAAACAGATGACTGAAACAAGAAAATAGGATAATAACTCAGATAAGAGCTCTGTTTCAGTGAGTGTACTTGAAAAAGACTTTTGCTAAACAACCATCTAAGGTAGTCTGGAAGAGCGTCTAGAGAGGGGAGCCTAGTAACTAAACCCTTAGAATTTTCTCAATCTGTCTTTTGCTTTATTTTTGAAGTGTGATGTTTGAATTAGAGAAGCTGGTCACCAACAGCTTTGATGTTACTTTTAGAACAAGGACCTGCAGACATGGGACAAAGTCTCAGCACCTTCTAAGTGAACCAGAATTCTAATGGTTCATTGGCTCAGGCCACACATTCAGTTTTCCTTAGTGGAAAAGAAAGCAGTAGAAGCAAGTTGTTGATCACTTTTTTGTCTTTCACAGATGTTAGTTCAAATAATGGTATAACTCAGAGGCTACAAGTGTTGTGTCTCTTACTACTAGTCTACTAGCCCAAAAWTGCAATTTGTTCAATAACAAACTCAGAGGRAACTATTTGCAGCACTAAGATGTATAGAAGAGAACATGCATTCTGCATGAGGATGCATAATACTCTTTCAGGTGAAAGAGGATTACGGTTTGCCCTACAGTATTGTAGCTCACAGCATTTATAGTTTGGTTTCTGTTGCTGGTTCCTGTTCTGTTGCAGTCAATTCCAGCCAAACCTTATTTACTATGCCAGGTGCTGCCAGTGCCTTTCATAAAGCTAAAGGAGGTGCTTGGACAGGTTGGAGGTGCTTTGGACAGGTTGGAGGTGTTGGTCCCCATGAGTGGACAGAGAGTTATGTCCTGCCAGGCTGGGTGAGAAGAGTGTCTGCTCTCTGCCTGGGTATCAACCCAGCTCAGCCAAAGCACCAGCGGCTCACCAGGCACCCACCAGATCTCTCTGGTGCCTCCAGACCCACTCCGGTGGCCAGGACTGTGCCCCAGGGCTGGTGAACTTCCAGGGGAACATCCAGCAGCTCCCAAACCTACCACCTGGATACCACTGCTGCCTGCAACCCTGAGGAGCAGGGGCACAGGGTGCACCGGGGGAAGCTCCAGAAGCCAGACCAGCCCTCTCACTTCCACACTGTGAGGGAACACACAGCGCAGCACTGTCAARGGGATGAGTATGGAGAGAAAGAACCTGTATCCCAGCTGGATGGAAGCCCTTGAGGCACTGGACATTAGGCAATCATATGGGAAWAATGGTCTCTCCAGCACACAGGCTGTGTTAATCCACACCTTATACCTCTTGCTGACCATGTGAATTTGTCCTCGAGCTAGCAGAGGTGGAAGGAAATAAAGGACTCACCTCTCCTCGCTGCAGAGAAGGGCGGTTATAACGTTTCCACCGTGTTTGCTGGGGCATCTGTGGGGGACCCCAGCAGCGCTGGTGCCCGGGTAGCCAGGGCAGGTATCTGCCATCACCTGGGGAATCTGATATCTGCTGATGCCCTGGGGAATCGCTAATGAGCTAGTAAACCATTAGTGGGTAGGACAGAAAGGTGAACCCAGCGCTTGGCACAACACTGATCCACGGGGAGGGATGGACAGCCAGCCCTGCTCCTGCTGAGCTCAGACATTGCTGCCCTCCAGGGACTGAGCCATCACTGGAATTGTCACTGAAATGTCCCATAAAGGTGGGGCAGCGGAGCTTTGCTCCTGAACAGGCTTTTTGTTTGTTTGTTTGTTTGTTTTTAAGGGATGGTTAGGAATACTGTGCTGTATTGTCCTGTGCCTCAGCACACACACACTGACCGGTAGAGAGAGGAGATCACCCTTGTTAGGAAAATTAATCCACAAGCACCAGAGGTTTATGTCCAAAAAGGAGACAGAGGAGTCCCGCAACTTTATTCATGAATAAAGGGAGAGGTCATGGGCATTTCCCA